CCACCACCGTACGTGGAAGTTGATATAAATAACAAGGAAAGACAAAATAATAATTTTTATTCACATAATATATACTTTTGCAATATATAAACCACAATAGATTAATACAGGCAGCTTCACTCAAATATATTGTGATTTGATTACATGGGTCCCGGAGCAAAATCAAGGGAGGCAGTAGGAGCTTCGGCAGCAGAAGCGATGGGACCGGCAGCTGCACCGGAGCTTAAAAACTGAGTCATTGCACGACGTGGGCTGGCTTGCTGCACCTTGCACAAGTCCGGCAAGAACACTCCTGCAGACGACAAAAACCTTGTAAGACAGCCTTATTGTGCGCATAAGAAAACCATGTCAGCAGATACATATTAAATGTATTTTTAGTCGGAGTTAAGCTTGTCAAGCTTGAGTATGTCCAAGCTAGCACAATTGTTACTACCCTAGCTCGAATATTTAGCTTAGGCCCTTGCTCAACTCAGCTCGATAGAATTTAGTAAGCATTGCGCTAAAATTAGAGGTAAAATCAAGTTTAATTATGAAAAATTAACAAAGTTTAATCCCAAGAATTTATTGTAGAAGAGTGTGAGATATAAGTGTACATGATTTTTGGAGGAGAGTTCTTAATTTGGTAGTATAATTAGAATTATTTATAAACAACCTATTTGGACGATTTGAGTCCACTCACGTCGAGTTACACATTATTCGATTCATTTCATTTATAAAATAAGTTTAAAAATCTAGTATGATTCAATTCATTTTTTTGGAGAAACAAGTAAATGTGTGTTGTACTACATGGTTATAGGAGAGAGGAAAATGACAAGGTAAAAGATGGAATGATTGAAGAAAAAATTATCACCTTCTCCCAAAGCCAAATTGTGGTAAAGATCAACAATGTTGCGGCATTTCTGGTGGCATTCTGGGGAGCAAAGCTTGGAGGTGAAGCGAGGCTCTAGTAGGGAGTCCGATGAAATTCCAACAGATTTCCTTTCAGCACCACAAGCACTTATGCACTCATCACTCTCAATCCAATCCTTCATGTTCTCTGCAACCACCTCAGATGTCTTACATTGTAATGTCGACGTAGACGTTCTTCCATCATTTGTTACGTAAGTCTCTAACAGGCAACGCTTCCCAGAAGATGCGATGGAGAAGGAGCACATTCCAACAGGTAATTCCTCACATATGATTTCACCTACACAGTATATTGAAGAAGCGAAAAAAACAAAAAAAAAATGGTTAGTGTGTTGAGCTTAAACTCGAGTTCAAGCTCATGCCGAAAGTCAAACTCAACTTGGTTATATATTTATTAAAAAAAAAAAGTGTTTTATAGATGTGTGGGTGTGTGGGTGTCTATGAGCCGAACAAGTTTTTTCTCAGGCTCAACTAGTTTATTAAATGAGATTCAAATTGAGCTCAAGCTCAGTTTGTTTAATAAATGAATGGATTTGAATGGACTTTTAATCAAGCTGATCCCGAGTTTTTCATGAACAACTAGTAGTAGTAATTAAATAAAAAATAAACATGCTAGGAAAGGAGTTCTAGCTTGGGGGAGTACCAAGAGCTCCTTGGAGGAAGACAGAGAAAACAAGGAAGAGAATCAATGCCATTTTGGTGAAGAAGCTTTGTGTTTGAGAGGGAGAAGATGGGCTTTGTTGCTCTGATTTTGATGATTGGAAAACTGAAACGATCCTTATGAGATTCGGTAGAGTATTTGGTGTGTTTATATAGAGAAGGGAATGGTGAAAAACCAACACAAAATGACATTGGAGAGTATAATAAATGATTGAGAGGCATTTTGACGTGATGAAATGAAATTTGGTTGATTAATTTCTCCCTCTCTCTCTCTCTCTCTCTCTCTGCTTCTTACATATTATATGGCTTCCTAATTAAACTATGAGAGCATGCAGCCGCTCTAATGGTCAGGAGTAGGATTCCAAAGCCGGTGCCCAAAAGCAAAGCTGCCTGTTCTTGGAGCCTTATGATTTGACCTTAATGCTAATTTAGTCTGTTCACACCACAGGAAAAACAATGGCTCTTATTTATATGATTCGGGCATCTCGAGTTGTGAACATAATATATTCGGCTTAGAACATTTGACTATTCCCAAATCCCGTAACCACATAAATTTTGTCTTGAGATTTTTTTTTTTTTTTTTTTGGGGAGGGGGGGGCATTTATTTACCAATTCAAGTCGGATATTGATCATAATTTAGAAACAAAATGGATTTAAAATCTAATTGTTACTGCAACCCGGGGTTAACCTCAGAGACAAGGTCGCTGTGTCCCTCTGCAGTTGGCACGGGTCGGGCCACACTCCAAGAGATGGATCTCCCCTACCCTTTATTTGTGTGTAATCCAGTATTTTTCTGAAAAAATTAAGTGTAATAGCCACTCTTATGAATGCTATGATTAGTCTCCAATTTTCCAATTAAAAGAAAAAATGATGAAACTAGAGGAGCCGTCGGCAAATGGCCCGTGACTCCACGGGTAGGACCAAGGCCTGGCCCATCACAAGGATTGTTCGGCTGTGTGATCTACTGTTGAAGAAAATTGTGGAGAAATTATTGTATGCAAAGCATTTGATCTAATCTATGTATATGGATGTGCATCCTCTAAAGTAATCCACTGCCAACATTTGTTCTTAAGCTAGAGAGATCCTCTCTTGGATTATGAGTTTGTGCATCTTCAAACCTCACCACCAATATGGGGAGAGGTGAATTGTTTTCCTTTTATATTGAACATAGAACAAGGCTCCAATTAAAACAGTTAATTGTACTGGTTTGTCTCTAAAGCATTACTAGTTATCTGCAGAAGCCCTTCCTGGCTACTAAATAGTAGGGCCTGTAAATACAGTATATTGCCCTGAATTCATAGTTCATCGGACAAAGCTAATTATATTTACTGTGACAACTGAAAGTCCAGTCATCCAACAATCAAAAAAATCTTGGAAAATGGTGAGTTGTATTGAAAATCTCAAGATGCAGAAGGTTAAGGAGAGAAGAGATGAAGAAGAGAATTATTCTCATTCATTCCTTTTTGCTGTACATATGTCTGTATTTATACTAGCTACAAGTACACACCAAAACTTATTCATCTAAATGCTTTACACATAAGAGAAATTTTCCTAACTAACTGCCAGCTTCCATATGCCTCTGGATTCTTCTAGTGAGCTCTGCTAGATCCTTCTAGTGTGCTCTACGTGATCATGCTGAGCTGGGAGATACAGCTGAACTGGCTGTATTCTCTGCAAATTTTAACACCCCCCCCCCCCCCACAAGATGGAGAGTATATAAGTTGAAGTTGTCAAGGCTTTTGTCATGATGTCTACAATCTGAGAGTGTGAACGTATATAAGCAGTGGAAATCATTTTTTCTTGTATGTTCTCTCGAATTAGATGACAATCTAATTCAATGTGTTTTGTTCTTTCATGGAATACAGGATTTGCTGCAATGTGTAATGCTGATTGATTGTCACAATAAAGAATGATTGGCATTTCATGAGGTATAGAAAGATCATTCAGTAGATGTTTAATCCAAGTGAGTTCGCAACAAGTTGCAGCCATTGATATGTACTCTGCTTCAATTGAACTTCTTGAGACTGTGGTTTGCTTCTTGGATTTCCATGAGACAAGTGACAAGCCAATGAAAACACAATAGCCAGTTGTAGATCTTCTGGTATCTGGGCATGAAGCCCAGTCAGAATCATAGTAAGTTGTTACCTGCATAGATGTAGTGGAAGAAAAGAAAAGGCCCTGAGCTGGAGACCTCTTGATGTATTTAAGTATTTTGTTCACAACATTAAGGTGAGGAACACGAGGGGTTGCCATGAACTGGCTCAACAAATTTACTGAATAAGAAATGTCAGGCCTTGTGATGGTTAAGTAGAGTAGTCTTCCAATGGCTCTTCTATACAGAGATGGGTCTTCCAAAAGTTCTCCATCATCTTTGGAAAGCCTGCTGTTCTGATCCACAGGCACTTTAGCAGGCTTGCACCCAATTAATCCAGAATCTACAAGGATATCCAGTGCATATTTCCTTTGACAAACCTGTATTCCATGAGAATTTCTGGCTACCTCTAGGCCAAGAAAGTATTTGAGAGATCCCAAATCTTTAATTTTGAATTGAGCACTCAGAAATTCCTTTAACTGTGAGATGGCATGTTTGTCATTGGAAGCAACTATAATTTCATCCACATAAACTAATAATGCCATGAAAGAGGTGTTTGTTTTCTTGACAAATAAGTTATAATCTGAATGAGATTGAGTAAATCCATAACTGAGTAGAGATGATGAAAACTTAGCATACCACTGTTTGGATGCTTGCTTAAGTCCATACAAACTCTTCTTTAACTTGCAAACCTTGGTTTCTCCCTTAACAAGATACCCAGGGGGTGGCTGCATATACACTTCCTCTTCTAGTTCCCCATGCAAAAATGCATTATTCACATCGAATTGATGCAAAAACCAGCCCTTGATTGTAGCCAATGCTAGCAGAATTCTAACTGTTCCAAGCTTTACTACTGGAGAGAAGGTCTCATGATAGTCAAGCCCCTCTTGTTGAGTATACCCTTTTGCCACTAATCGAGCTTTATACCTGTCCATAGTCCCATCTGAATTGTACTTTACTTTGTACACCCATTTTGAGCCATAGTTATCAAATCGTGTATCGGAAGGCGTATCGTAAGATACAAATATTGTATCGTATCGTGTATCGTATCGTGTATCGTAAGATACGATGCAATTTTAAATAAATAATAAAAAAATATATATACCTTTGAAAAAAAGTCATACACTCATAAAAAATATAGCATTTCATTAATACTCCACCAACTATTCAAGTTATCAACATAATCCACTACTATTATAATGCAAAGTTCACAACCATAGTTCACTAATTCAAACTTTAAACACCAAAGAGACTTCTAATCCAAATTTCTAACATTCATTTTGAACTCAATCTTCAATTTCAATTGAAAATGCATCATCATCATCATCATTGTGATCGGATGCCAACAAGTCTTCACTTGTCGTTTTTTTTAAAAAAAAATCAAAGCACAAAACGACGTCGTTTTTAAAAAAAAAAAAAAAAAAAAAAATTGCACGTATCGTGCGTATCGTACCGATACGTATCGTATCGTAAAAACGTATCGTGTATCGGACGATACAACGCAAAAACGATACATAACTACGATCCGTATCGTTTTAGGGCTGTATCGTAACGTATCGTACGATACGTATCGCGTATCGTACGATACTAACAACTTTGTTTTGAGCCAATAGGGTGTTTTCCTTTTGACAAATATGTGAATTCCCAAGTATTGTTATACTCCAGAGCTGCAATTTCATTATCCATGGCTTTACGTCATTCTAAGGATTTTACTGCCTCTTGATATGAGTTAGGCTCGTGATGATTTAGGATTGCTGTAGCAAAACTGGCATACTCGTGTAACAGTTTATCATATGGCAAAAATGATGACAGGGAATAAGGATGACCTAAGTCCTTCGAGCTTGTTTGAGAAGAGTGAGGCACAATGACTTGGTGACAGTAATAATCTTTCAAATACTCCGATCTTTTTCTTGTTCTATCTGACCTGTGAGGAGAAAGACTGTTCTGTCTTTCTATAGGAACAGAAATAGATGGAGAATTATTGTTGTTTGGTGGTGAAGAAGAAGATTCTTCTTGCTCAGGTTGTGAATTGGTGGATGACTGTGCATGATTGTTAGGAATTTTGAGGATACTAGGAGGAGCTGGAACTGGCATAGATACAGCCTCTGTTGAGAAAGTTTGATCAGATGAAAGTGATGAAGAAAGATCAAAGAAGTGAGGTAGTGAAGAGTAACTTTGTGAAGATGACTGATCTGTCTTATAGGAAAAAATATTTTCATGGAATACAACATCCCTTGAATGAAAAATTGAATGAGTTTCTAGATCCATCAACTTGTATCCTTTGACTCCAAAAGGATAGCCTAGAAATACACATTTTCTGGCTCTAGGATCAAGCTTATGTCTACTCTGTCTCAGTGTAGAAGTATAGCACAAGGAACCAAATACCCTTATGTCTATATGTTGGTTTGGTTTTGAAGAGGAGCTGATATGGAGATTGGTTCTACAGGTTGGGTGAAGGAATCTGTTTATCAAATAGACTGGAGTCAACACACAATCATTCCAAAAATCAACAGGAATTGCTGAATGAAACATGAGGGATCTGGCTACATCGAGAATATGTTGGTGCTTTCTCTCAACAACACCATTCTGTTGAGGAGTTTTTACACAACTTGTTTGATGAATAATTCCCTTTTTCATAAAGAATTCTCCCATGCTAAACTCATTTCCTTTATTAGTCCTGATTATCTTGACTTTGGATTGAAATTGGGTCTCAATAAGGGAACAAAAAGATTGTATAAATGGTCTAGCTTGGGATTTTGCCTTCATTAAGTAAAGCCATGTGCACCTTGTAAAATGATCAACAATGGTGAGGAAATATCTTGAATTATCATAGGCTATATGTGTGCTAGGCCCCCATATATCACAATGAATCAAGTCAAAAGGATTATGTGACTTATGTTCTCTATTAGAAAATCGAAGTCTATAAAATTTGGCCAATGGACAAACTGAACGAGGAATTCTATTATTGATGAATTGAACATTTGACAAATCATTTTTCAACAAAGCAAGTTTTGAATCTGAGGGATGGCCTAGTCTACAATGCCACAAATCATACTTAGATTGGGAGCAAACTGAAGTTGAAGTAGGAGACTGTTTACAAGAAAGACCAGATAAAGCTGTATTAAAAATTGTAGAGGAGATTGGTGACATCTTGAGCTGGTACAAGCCATCATGAACCTCTCCCTTCCCAATCGTGGTCTAGGTGGAAAGGTCTTGTATAAGACACTCATTAGCAAAAAATAGGAAGCAGCAATTGAGGTCCTGTGATCACTTTCTAGCTGACAGAAGATTGAACTTAAAAGATGGGATGCACAACACATTTTTTAGAGTGATGGCATCATTGATTTTGATAGTTCTTGTGTGTGTTACCTTTGATAAATCACCATTAGGAAATTTAAATTTGCAAGAAAGTTTGATAGGTGCAGAAGAATAAATGGAAGGACTGCAGATCATATGATCTGTTGCACCCGTATCTATTACCCAAGGAATTTGGATGGTTTCAAAATTTGAAAAACAAGAAATAATACCAGTCATATCAGAGGATTGAGTATCAATTTGATTACTCTGAACTCGATTAGCAGAAAGGATGCACAGCTCTGATTTGAAGCAAGGCCATGAGATGTTGATATTGTTCCTGAGTGACTGCTGATTGTGATCCTTCTGTTTGATGCTCTTGATTTACTGTACTTGTTTGATTAGCTGATGGAGTAAAACCCTTGTTCTTGCTGTGCATCTTGTGACCTGGTGGATATCCATAAAGCTCGAAGCATTTCTCAATAGAATGCCCAGTGACATTGCAATGGGTGCAGAATGGCCTTTCTAACTCTGGATTTGCTTTAAAACATTTCTCTATTGAATGACTAGGAATCTTGTAGTGAGTACAATAAGGTCTTTCTTTCTTTTGAGGAGCAGAATACTTGTTGTTTTCCTTGGTGATGAAATTAGTCCTTGCTGCTAATGCAAGAGAATCAGTCACATTGATTCCAGAAGTGAGTTGCTTTCGTTTTTCCTCTTGTTGGACTAGAGCGTAGACTTCACTCAATGCAGGGAATGGTTTGATTAAAATAATCTGTGCTTTAATGTTTGTAAAAGAGTCACTAAGGCCCATGAGAAATTTCATAATCCAATCCCTTTGTTGGTTTTCAAAAACAGCTTTCATTGCTCCACATGTGAAATGTGGCAGGGACTCAAAATTCAAGAGTTCATCCGGTAATCCTTTGAGTTTTGAGAAGTATAGACTCACAGAATCTTCTCCTTGGGTGAGAGAATGGATTGCTTGCTTTAGCTCATAAATCCTTGGTCCATTGTTTTGGGCAAACCTCTGTTCCAATTCCACCCATAACTCATGTGCAGTCTCAACATATACTACACTGTTTTTTATTTCCAAGGACATTGCATTTTGAAGCCAAGTAACAAACATGTCATTACATTCAAGCCAAGGATCCATCAAAGGGTCATTGGGGTCTGTTGGTTTGCAGAGAGTGCCATCGATGAAACCCAATTTTCTTTTGATTCGAAAGGCTCTTCGAACAGTTCAGGCCCAAGAGTGATAGTTCTCTGCTATGAGAAGGTGACTGGTAAGGAGGGTACCTGGTCCATCATTTGGATTGAGGAGGTATGAGTTAGCAGGGTCTTTTGGATTGGGATTGGTTGCAGAATTATCACTGCTGTAAGAGGAATCGTTGGGATTTGGATGTGGTGTGTTGGCCATTACTGCTCTGATACCATATTGAAAATCTCAAGATGCAGAAAGTTAAGGAGAGAAGAGATGAAGAAGAGAATTATTCTCATTCATTCCTTTTTGCTGTACATACGTCTGTATTTGTACTAGCTACAAGTGCACATCAAAACTTATTCATCTAAATGCTTTACACATAAGAGAAATTTTCCTAACTAACTGCCAGTTTCCATATGCCTCTGGATTCTTCTAGTGAGCTCTACTAGATCCTTCTAGTGTGCTCTACGTGATCATGCTGAGCTGGAGAAGAGGCTGAGTTGGATGGTGATCAGTGGATACAGCTGAACTGGCTGCATTCTCTGCAAATTTTAACAAGTTGAGGATGCTGGTGAGGCATTGGGTCCATAACCTGTCCCAGATCACCTTGTTAGAGAAAGTCGTCGCGCTATATTTGTAAATTTTTTGTTTAAGCTGTTGTAATGTATTTTAAAATCGGGTAGAATAACCCAAAATAACCAATATCACATACAGTTGTATCGGCCACAGGTTGCGGTGGAGTATGATATTTAAATATGAGCTTAAAGCATACAAAAAATCGGAGTTTGGGCATAAGATCCTTGGTTTAAAAAAAAAAATCAAAAAGCCAGGTCTCTCATTTAGTAGATGAATGGCCTTTTGCTCATTTGCGGTACTGAATATGTGCAACTTGTCCCATCTACATGGTAAAATCATGAGGTTTAAGGTATAAATTAGAAAGATCGCCATTTGCAATAATCTTTGGCTAGCATTCAAGTTCATTTCTTAATGTTCTAATGGTTGTTTATCGAAAAACACAAGAAATGATAGAGCAAATGTTCAATATGTTCATAAATATAGTTTTTTTCCCAGTAGTTCCTAACATAAAATGATACATATTTTCGTACATCAGTTTACAACTGTATCCGCATCAGATGAATTTGAACTACTTCATCTGGAAATACATCGTCGATTACATTGAAGCTGGAGCACAAGCGACGGATCCAAACAATTCACTAGACATGGAACCTTCAGCAAAAGAAGAGGCAGGACCATTAGCAGCAGCAGAGGCCGGACCAGACGCTGCACCAGAACTCTGAAGTTGGCTCATTGCATGTCGTGGATTGGTTCGCTGTGCCTCGCACAAGTCTGGCAAAAACACTCCTGTCACCATTACACACCCTTTCAGCTATCAATCTTGCTTATAAATACAAAAAAAAAAAAAATTCATATAAATGTTTAGTTATAGATTGTCGACAATGTGCTGATAGAAGAGTTAATTGATTAATTTTCTATCTGCTTGTTACCGGATTTTGTACAATTTTTTGCCTTACTTTTTACTCAAAAAATGTTTTTGGGCATGTTTTTTTGTTCAAGGCCAAAAACTATCACCTTCTCCCGAAGCCAAATTGTAGTAGAGGTCAACAATGTTGAGGCAGTTCCGATAACAAGCCGGTGAGCAAAGCTTTGAGGTGAATTGAGGGTCAAGGAGGGAATCGGACGAGATCCCGACTGAGTTCCTATCAAGCCCACAAGCACTTATGCAGCCATCACTCTCGATCAATTCAGCCATGTTGTTTGCCATCACCTCGGATGTCTTGCATTGGTATTCCATGGTGCCACCAGCTGTTGCAGAAGTTTCCAACAAACATCGTTTTCCCGAAGATGCAACTGATAAGGAGCACATTCCAACAGGCAACTCCTCACATATAATTTCACCTAAAGTATACATCAGAGACGGAAGAGGAAGAAGAAGACAAAAAAAAAACGTTAGTAATACTGAAAAAAAAAGGAGCTGTAAAAATAAAGCCCGGTTTTGTGCCACAAAAACTGGCCCATTAGCTCGGTGGGTCGAGCTCAGGCTCAATCCACCATGGGTGTCTCATGGGCAACCCAAGAGCCTAACAGCCATGAACATGGACTGTGGTTTTTGGCTCGTTAAGCCCTCGGGCTGATCTGATTAAGGCCCGTGAAGTTGGTCATCCGATACGCCCTGGCTGTTGGCGACTCTTGGGTGAAAAATGGAGACTGGCTGGTAGTGAGGGTACCAAAAGCTCCTTGGAGGAACAGGGAGAAAACTAGGAAGACAAGCAATGCCATTTTTGGTGTAGAAGCTTTGTGCGTGCCTTTAGAAAGAGTTGGGGTTTGTTTCTTGGTATTTCGATGAATGCAAGAGAGAATTGGTTTCTTTGACAAAATTTGCTAAGAGACTGTGGTGCTTATATAGAGGAGAGATTTGTGAAATTCTAAGACAAAATGACATAATTCGAAAGCTATTTTGTTCATAACGGAACCAACATAGAATTATTCTTTATCCTTTGGTTTCTACACTTGTATTCTTCTTAATATATAGAGGAGAGATTCATGAAATTCAATTGAAAAAAAATTGACATTAATATAATATTGTTATAAACAATGGGACAATTTAAGAATTTGGCAAACAGGGACAGGATATCAAAACCAGAACCTAGAAGCAACCACTCGCATTCAGCCTCAATACTTGGTTGATTTGGCGTTGGTGTTTGATAAGGACATGTTTGGAAGCCTTACAACTAAACGGGCTAATCTAGATTTTTATTAGTGTGTGTAATATCTAATTAAACTCAAATTATACAATATTGTTTGCTTTGTACTAGTTTGACATGGTTTAAAATTGAATTGTACAATGAAGTTTTAAATCTCAAATTTGTAAATGATAGGTCGTATTACTCCGATTTTAGGAAGGTGGTCTTCATGGAAATAGTGACTTTTTTCTTCAGAGTAACAACAAAAATGTGTTCAAATGCAATTTACTCATTTTGACATAACCTCCTTAACAAGCATTGAAAATGACCATGAAGAATGCCACCAATAGTGTGAAATGCCTTCAGAGTCCAGAACAGAATAAGAAGTGTAAATCCCCCACTTAGCTTGAGGCTGACAATTAAAACCATAATCAATGAACCTTTCCTCAAATAACGGTCAAAATTTATACAGTTCTGTTTCCTTTTGGGTCCAAGTAATCAGGCATTTTGCAATTACAAAAATCCAAAGTCTTCTGTTTCCTTCTGGGCAGAGAACATAAACTTTGAGATAAAAATACTTGAGGCTTCATGTATTTTTGGTTATGGCACATTCGGAAGCTGATGTTCAACCATCGACTGTGTGAAGAGGGGATGATCTTCTGCTTGTGTTACTGAGAGGGAGCACCAAATTATTAGTGCCAGCCCTCGATCATCCGGACTAAGGATATACAAAAATTATCCTTACCCATCAACAAAACATGCAAGAGAAATGTTAAAGATCTAACGTTCATTCTCAGCTAGGGCAAATCTCATTAACCTAACAGCAATCTCAATTGATTGCTGCAAATCTCATTAATCTAACCGCAGTCTCAATTGAGTTGTATTACACTAAAGCATCAGACACCCAGAAATTGAACTGGTCTAAGAATACATCGGCATTGACTATGCAATCTGATGGCATGAACTTTCTGAAAGAAGAACATGAGAGTAAAAGCAGCCAGGTAGCCAGTAATTGATGATTTTGGGAAAAAAAATTGCATCAAGCAGCTTGAAGTTCTGGTTTTGGGAAGCTCTCTTCTGGTGTCTTTGAGTTTGCAATGTATCTCCAACAGCGCTTATGAACCCCACTTATTTTCTTGGGTGCATCTGCAGTGGGCAAACCTGCATAATTCACTAATAGCATTAGGGCAAAACAAAACTATTTACAGGCAGAAACTTTGATCAACACAGCATTGATTTCAGCATTGTAAATAAGAAAACCTGATAAAACAATGGAATTTTATTGTGAAGAAGCAACCTTAATCAACGCATGGAATATTACCCTTGCTCCCCTGGGGCCATCCTGACTCAAGTTTGAGCAAGAGACAACTGTTATTTTACATACTTGGGTTAATCATGTCCATGGCATACCATCTCACTAGGCATAAAATGATGATTGCCTCTCGCCATTTATTTCCTTTGGACGCCCTGGTAGAACATATGCCACCTGTGCATCTTTAGCCGAACAGAATTCATCCTACATCTGACCTTTTCGCCTACCTAATTGTCTAATCATCGCCATTTCAGCTATGTTCATTGCATGGATACATCCAGCCCAAGATGGGGGGGGGGGCAAATTATATGTATATAAGGTTGAAGCCACATCTTGAAATGTTTCATCAGTGACATGAATTTGCGAATCACTAATCCCCAAAATTCCTCAGCTTTTCCATTCATTTTGTATTCTTATGTTAGTTCACAGGTATCTCTTCAATTGCTACCTCATTACAGATGTCCAAGACCATTTGGGTGGTCTTTACTCATGTTCATGGACTTTTGTTCTTCTAAAAGAATCCCACATCCTTCTATGGACAATGGTACTATATCTTGTTAAATTTGTGCGCTGAATGTTGGCACCAAGTTATAAACTTATAATTATTGAGATTACACCAGCCATCTCTTTTGAACATTGCTGACTTGAAAGTCAAATCAACATAACATACTTATCATCTTCGTGAAGGTAAATAAAAATAGTACTCATTTCATTTTGACAAGGACCAACAAATTTATAATTCACTCTATTTTACCCTAACAATATCCAATTAGGGATTGAGAAAGGGAAGGCAATACTCATCCACAACCGACATCCATATAATTCTTTCGTCAGTTCATGCAATGTGCTCCATATGCCCATGAGCATAGCCTGCATATACAATGGTTCTCTTACCACAAGAAGGCAGTGATAAAAAGGCTTCTTGTATGATTATTAGGATTTTTTGATAAAAAAAAAGGAAAAGAAAGAAAGAAAGAATAAGTAAAACTGTAAAAATATGCTAAAAATGCATGTGAAATGAAGCCTTTTATGCATTCTGTTCCTTGCAGTATTCTTTTCAAGAGTTAAGATGTGCAGGCAAAGTTTTCCAAATTCATAGAACCCATTAAGACTACTTTTTCCGGAAGAACAAAAGTTATTTCATCCATCATAGGCATTGTTGGTCACCAGAACTTTCATAAATGGGACTACCAAAACATAATTGCCAAAACAATAAAAAGAATTATGACTTGTGGAAGTCCAAAGAAATATTTAGAAACTGATTTTTGCCAATAAAATAGACAAACATTGTATATCTACCATCATTAACCATATATAGCCCCAACATCACACATGTTTTCTGAATTGTGAAAGAAAAACTGTGCAAGAAATACCATGTTCACAAAAAAGTGAAAGAAAAACTGTTCATAAAAAGAAGAATCAAAATCAATTTTTAACGCTTGAACAGCTCTGTTTGAGCCACAAGAAAACCAAAAACCTTCTCTTTGAACAACAATTACATAACCATTTGGCTCACGTTTGTCAATGACTCAATCCATCCCTTTTTTTTTCTTTTTCTCAATAAACAATTAAAACAACAAATGACCACAATAATGAGGACTTCCATTTTCCTTTTACGTACTTACATTTTATCAGCAACCCAACCTATAATTAAACATCAAAGCAGAAACACAAAAATCAAAAATCAGAATGTGAGAACTCACCGTCCTTATGAACAATTCCCCAAGCTTTCCCGTGTCTACCGTCCTGCAAAAACCCCAAAAAGCTCATACACCCTAACATCCCAAAATCCATAAACCCTAAAAACAAAAGTAAGACCAACCGAATAAAACAAAACCAAATAAATTTAAGCATATTTCGAGAGAGGAGGATTTAGGGGGAGACCCTGTAGAGATTAATCCTAGTGATCTGATAAGAAACGCCGATCCAATGAGTCTTGGCCATTTGGTACCCGATACCCCAGTTGGGTAGAAACTGAACCACCTCAAATAGATTCTTCCTCTTTGAATTCTTGGTTCCAACACTCGCCGCCGAAGTCGTAGTATTAATGGTCGTGGTGGAAGAGCTAAAGTTTCTGAAGAAATTGAAAGAGAGTCGAAAGAAGCTGGTCGTTTTCTCCATTGAAGCTGCTCTGCTGGCGACGATGGTCGCCATTTTCCGATACTCCCTCACCGTTTTCTTTCAAAAAAAAATGAAAGAGATTTGTGTTGGAATCCAGTTTCAAATATTAGAATCTCAGTTACAGTATTTTTTGTGGGTACAATGTCAGGGTAAAATTTTAATAATAAAATAAAATGTTTTTAAAATTAATAGTGACAAACAAATTAAATAATTTACAGTAAATATTGTTAAACTACTACTTCAGTGTCGTAATGCTATCTTTATGTAAATGCTGGGTCGAATTGGAGCTTTTGTCGATGACAATGAAAACAAACAGTTAGAATTTTGAATAGAACCTAAAAAGGGAAGTTGTATCAAAGGTGGCCCACCTTATAACTGCATGTAATTTTCAAAATGTCATTCTAAATTTAAAATTTTTCATTCTCGGGGTGGCATAAGGGTTAAAAAATGACAACAATACTCTTGAGGTGACAATTTTTTAAACTCTAGAGAAAAAAAAGGAGAGGTTACAAAGAGTCATTCTAGTCTACTATTCCCACTCAACGGCTCTATTCAACCAAAATATTTTATAAAAATACAGAGATTTTGAAAGAGAAAACTTATCAAAGGCTGAAAAAGCTTGCGTGAAAATCGTTCTAAGTTTATGATCCCTGCTCTTGATTTTTCTTCAAACCTTGTGGTTGGTGATGGCATATCTAGAGAAGGAGGCATAGAGATAGGGAAAAGAGAAGGAGGTTGGCTTTTCTTTAAATTGATTTTTTAATTAAATTAATTTTTGTAATTTAAATTGAATATTTTAATTTTAGTTTATTTATTTATTTGTGTTAATTTATAAATTTTTTTAATTAATGGTGATTTTATTTATTTTTTAATTGATTATTTTATGTTTATTCTTTAAATTGATTATAATTTTTTTTTTTAGATGGATTTATAAATTAACGATTCTTTTACTGATTTACTTATGAACAGCACCTATTTATATAATGATGTTATGCAGACCAATCTCACAGTATTGGTGCTAGTACAAAATGAAGCCCCTCCAAAAGTGAGAAAATTGCAAAGAATAAAAAACTTTTCTCTAAAAGAAGATAAATTAATTGTGTATGCATAGCTTAACACAAATAAAGATACAATTACGAGGAATGAACAACAAAGTGGTACTCTCTGGCATAAATATTGAAATATTTAGAACTTCATGGAGGCAATCAAGAAGAACGTTCGCAAACTTTTATTAAAAGCCGTTGGATTGATATAAATGCAAAATGTGGCAAATTTGTCGATTCTTATAGTCAAATTAAAAGATTGCGACAAAATAGACACACCGAGCAAAATAATGTAATGATTGAGCTTTTTTAGATAGACACTACTATGATTTGATATTTGAACTATTGACTAAATGATTTCATATGTTTTTTCAAGTTGATGAAGCAAAAGAAATATTTGCTAAAATCATTAGAAGACAATTTCAATACAAGAATTATTGGAATATATTAAGAATGGAGTGAAAATGGACTGATAATCTCACCAACAATAAGAGAGTAAAAACTCATTCAACTGGTAATCCTCCTAAATCAAATCATATTGAATATTGTTATTCAACTCCATATTTAGGAGATGACACTGAACCCTCGTCCACTCCCAACCTCAATAAGGCATTGGACCAGAAGGTTTCGAAGAAACAACTTAAAAACAAAGAGAAGCAAACAATTGTTGAAGCATCACTAGATTATCACCAATAGAATCAAAAATGGAAGTGAAACGACAAAAAAATTGAGCGGCACAATAAAATTTATGCTCAACAGGAGATATCATTTGAGCAACATCGTAGACAGTTAGAAATTGAAGAAAAACAGGTGTAAGTAAGAGTGTCGTGTCGTATTATTTTCGTGTCGTATCACTTTCATTTGTTTTATTTTCGTATCATATCACTTTTGTTATATGTCGGGCTCGTGTCAATATTCGTGTTAATAAAAAATTATTTAATTTGATAACAACTAATATAATACTATTTAAAAAATTATAAAAATTCTTATTTTCTATTTACTATACTCGTTAAATAATTATTTTCTATCTACAGTACTCATTAATCGTGTTATTCATGTCGAACCTTAATTTGACCTATTTATTATTCGTGTCAACTAATTGTGTTATTTTTTTATTCGTGTCAGGTTCAGTTCAAGTAGGGTTCGTGTTAACAAAAAAAATTGACACCCCTAGGTGCAAAAAATTAAAAATGAAATACATAATTAAATAAAAATCATGAAAACCGACACTACTAGCATAGACCTAATTTTTGCAATATATTAGAATAACCTGAAGATAGAGATTATGAGAAAAAAGAATTTTAATTTTTAGTCGTTATTTATTATGTTGTTATTATTTTTTAATTTTTAGTTGTTATTTATTATATTGCAGTTGAGAATGAGTTGCACTGTCCCTGATCTGACAATGAATTTGCATGAAGTCTTTTAATTCAGGTGTATAAGTTTAATTATATTTTTTAATAAAAAATGTTAAAATATTAAAATGACACCTCATTTTGACACCTGCCATTATAGTAAATTTATAAATCAGAAATATCAAAATACTGTTCAAGATTACAAATAGGTGATTTAGCAACCCAAAATGGCAACTCTTTTTAGAGTTGCTCTAATAATGGGTGGCGAGATGGCAACATCGGGTAGTTTGAACTAGACCTGACAATTCTAGACATGACTCGTGAAACCGACACGGATTTAGCGAGTTTGGGTGTAGTCTTAACAAATTCGGGTGGTTAACGGGTTAACTCGACAGACCTGTAAAATAAATGAATCGATTTCGTGTTTAACCCATAAACTCGTTTTAACCCGTTTAACCCGTTAATAGTTGTACTATAATTTTTTTTAAAAAAAGTTAGGTCTCTGAGTCTCTGTCTCATCTCACACCTCCCATCTCTTAAAATCATTCAAAATTAGTAGTCATTTAATATTTATTTTTCGTCTTTATTTTTTTGCTCGGCCTTGATTTATTGTTTTAGTAAATAAGTCAAACATGTGTAATGTGTAGCAAATTAATGATTTTTCATGTGTACTTGAAATACTCTAACCTATTATCTTATTTAACGGGTGACACCTAGGTTATATCAGGTAACCCGTCTAATAAATGATTCGTGTATGAATGTAATAGTTGGACTCATTTATATAAATGAATGTGGTATGGATTGAGGGTTTTTTGACATAAATCAATTTTACCAGACACAAAACCGTTCCACTCGACACGATTCTCAGGCCTAGTTTGAACCCCTTTGATTAATCAACAATTAAATTAGTCCGAGCATTCTTTACCTTTGAACTAAAATAAAATTTTACAAAAAAAAATCACTTAAGAGTTTATAAAACCATCTTCGATGAAGACTCAAACTCTTGTCTAAATATCTCTAATGAAAAAACTCAAATTTAAAGGAAAATAAACACTTTTTTAAATTAAAACAAACCCAAAGTTAAAATATGGTAAATATGACAGTTGAATCTTTAAAAGAGGGTGTAATATCACCATTGGTAAAAAAAGGATAAGAATATGAGTCTCTTTTGATTTGAGATTTCCTTTCATTTGATATGAAAATGAATCTAACATTGAAAAACAAATATTTCAGACTAGAGATGCTCTAAAGAAACCTCTTAGAGCATCTTTACCTTTTTCTAAACCCAAATTTAAATTAAGATAAAAAAACTCATAAAAATCTTATTCAATGTTAGACTCATAAAAAATTTGTTTTTACTCAAATCATAAGAGACTCAAATTTATACCCAAATCTTTAATGATAAAATTTCACCCTCCTTTAAAAATTCAATAATCATACTTTATCTACTTTAAATTTAAGTTTGTCTTCATTTAAATTTAAATTTTTTTCCTTTGAAAAAAAATTTATCCATTGAAAAAGTCTGAATCAAATCAAACATTAGTTTTTACCTTCTTTTTTTTAACCTAAAATAGGGTACGAATTTGCATAAGAACTGGAGATGGTCTAACTTCTCTTTTTTACTGTGTTTCTACTGCTGGGCAAGGTTAATTTTTCAGACTTTTAATATACCCACTTCAATAACAGCTGGACATTGCCAATTAAGACCCATTTAGAACCCACGGCGTCGTTTGGCTCAGTCCTACCAAAAACTCCTTGGTTGGCAAGTGTAAATTTGGAAACAAAAAGCCGTCACAAATTACATTTAAAAATTCGAAAGGAAATGGTAAATGATGCTGGCAATATTAATATACACAAAATTCCTTTATTGCCCATCATCAGTCAATAATTTTACAGCAAATACTGAAGTACATGATGAAACTCTTTGCCAAAACAATTGCACTTCAGCAGCAGTATTCCTATAAAAGTCCATCTCACCAACCAGAAACCAGCCACCCGACTAAATTTCGACTAAGGCGTTCGCTCTTCTTTTCTGGCCCTTTTATTTCTTCCGTGTGATTGCACAAGACGAAAACAAGAAGCTCTCGACAACAGAAAAACACTCAGTCGAAACTCGACTCTGGCCATAATTCATAGAATTCCACAAAAACTTTCAGGCCACTATACCTCTTGACATCCAAATGCAAGAGAACGAGGTCAAAGAAAAACCTTGCAACATGGAGACACTTCAAGGGGGCATTAGCATTAAAATTCACAGGCATTCTAATGAGAACGAGGCAAGATTTCCCGAAACAAAACAAATTACCAATCGCCCAGCAGTCTAGAAGAAACCAACTTCATCCCACCCATAGCACAGCCTTACATACATACCGTCATAGGAATCCAACTGTTTTGCAATCCTCTTTCTGGCATATGCTTAAAATTCGAGAAGATCTAATAAAAAGAACAGATTCTCAATCATCTTTACAAAATCCTGACATAGGTTTTGCTTCATTAAAGGGAAACCCTTGGAAATCAAGTTGGGGAAATGCATCTCACGGATGATTATATGTCTGTCTGTAGGCAAATATTTGCAACCACAGGATAACTGGCAAAATACCTAAAGGAGCCTAATATCACAACTACACTGCATTAAGACACTGGTAAAAAAAAATTACAACAATATGGTGAATTGCTAGATTTGGCACGAATATGATTAATAATGTGAAATGGGCGTGGGAATCAATTCTGTGAAAAAGAAATAGTTGTTT